CCCCAAAACCCCAAAAACCCAAAACCCCAAAACCCCAAAACCCCATAGAAATAATTGATGAGTCTATAATTTTCATCACAAATTAAGTATTTCACTATTCTTTAACTATGTTTTAATTTCATCAATTTATAACCATTAATTCTGATCAGAATTCATAGCATTAAAATTTAAGGTCAAATTTCCTATCTAATATATAAATTAATTTAAGAGCTATAGATATGAGTAATTAAAGAGAATTAGAAGTTTAACAATCATTGTTAGATGGGCTAAGGCGCTAAGAATCCTCATTTGTTGAATTTAAGACAGAAATGTCAGAGTTCTAAACCAAGTAAGAAACCACTACAGAGGAATAAAAGGATTCTTACATTCCTAATGATAAAAAGATCAATAATCTCCTTCCTGCAGAATATAAATGGATGCTAGAGGATTATGTTGAGGTTGATTACTCTAAGATAGACAGTAGGATTAAAACTAAAAATTTGCCACTTAGACTTGAAGAAAAAGGGAAAAAAATTGAAGTTTTGTAAATCATCATGATATCACATAGGGATATGCTCTTGGTAGAATACTATCATACTAAATAAAAAAAGAACAGATCTGTTGATTTAATTAATTTAAGTACCTTAACTCTGATATAAACTCAAAGCTTAAGAAAATCAGTTGATGAAAAAAGTAAAATTTTTCACAGAATTTTCAATGATGTTGATTATATCTTTTATCAAGGTGATTAATTTGTATTCTTAATGAAATTTGATGATTTTATTGAATAAGCCTATGATAAAACTTTGATTCAACTTGATTTCTAATAATGCAATAGGTTCAGGGGTGTAGATTTCATAGATGAATTCAGCATTATGGTTACTTATTAATACTTTACATATATATTTAAATTTGAAGGTACTTCTCTTGAATAGATAAATCATGCTAGTAAAATTAAATTTTAAATTTCTTAATTGAAAGAAGATTAGATCAAAAAATAAATAACTAATTAAAATCAGAAATTGTTTATAAAAGATGAGAATCAAAGTTTCTATAAGTTTTATAGCAGATAATGTTGTTCACCTTTCTACCAACTAAGCAATCACTTTATTTGGAATTATAAGAATCCTGTTAAATCTATCTTTGTCAATAAAACTTCCCTTGAGACAGATAAAAGAAAAGATAAGTACCATTATCCGATAAGATATTTGAATATGTATGAATATGTAATCGACTAAGATTTCAATTTATTTGAGTATAAAAATCAAGAGAGTTATACTTTCAACAGATTGAAATAGTTATACAATTCAAGTATTAAGTGGATGTATGATATTGAGTGTACTTCAAATAAAATTATCATATATTCAGGAAATGAAACTAATGACTACAACCTTCTTGTCTTTGATGCTAAGACCTTATAATTACTTGATTAATTTAACAAAATTGCAAATAATAGAAGAGATTATATTGGAGTAGATACATTAAACAATAGGTTCTATTTCCGAGATCAGAATAAAAGAGAATAAGTTAATTACTTAAACTATACCACAAACTAAAGATCAAGCTTTAATATTGTCCCTGTAGTAAAACATAAAAAGCATTTACAATATTTAGATTTATAATATACGATAAAAAACTACATACTTTACAATGGAGAGTAAGATTAAAAATTAGTGATATTAGACTTATTAACTGGATTTAAGCAAGAAATATCTAAAGAATTGCTAAAAAATAGTTTAGAATACCTTGAAAATAGAGATGAAATCTTTACAAATTAAAACTTTAATGAGATAATAAAATCATAGTATAAATAAATTGACTATGAACCTGTAAATGATATATCTAGTTCAGATATTCTAATTAGTAGTGATAAGAATCACATTTATCTAAATGGCAATCGTAAGGTTGATTGGATTAAATTCAGGAAATAATCTGGAATCAAATTCAAGTATGATCCTACATTTTGCTTGATGCAAAATAATTCAAATGAAAAGCAATATATTTTCGATTAAGCTAGTGAAAGTAAAATTGTCTATTTTGATAAATAAACATAAAAATTTGAAACAATAAATTTGGAAGAAGATGTTAGGATTAAAGCTCCTAAATCTGCAATCCTAGATGAAATTCTAGGTAATTTATTGGTAAAATATAAAGATGATGTGAGGATGTTTAGTCTTGGAAATAAGAGGATTATTAAAGAAATACCAGTTAATATGGATAATAATTCAGTATTTATTTAAAAAAATTATGTTCAAATAAATTCTTAATAAGAAGGAACAATTATTCTATTTTTCAAAAATTAAAATGTTGACAAAATTATTTAATTCAAGTAA